AGATAGGAATACCAGACCTGCCTCCTGAGAAATCTGTATGCAGGTCAAGAAGCAACAGTTAGAACTGGACATGTAATAACAGACTGGTTCCCAATAGGAAAAGAAGTACGTCAAGGCTGTATATTGTCACCCTGCTTATTTAACATATATGCAGAGTACATCATAAGAAATGCTGGACTGGATGAAGCATAAGCTGGAATCAAGATTGCCGGGAGAAATATCAATAACCTCATATATGCAGATGACACCACCCTTATGGCAGAAAGCCAATTAGAACTAAAGAGCCTCTTGATGAAAGTCAAAGAGGAGAGTGAAAAAGTTGGCTTAAAACTCAACATTCAGAAAACTAAGATTATGGCATCTGGTCCCATCACTTCGCGGCAGATAGATATGGAAACAACGGAAACAGTGACAGACTTTATTTTCTTGGGCTCCAAAATCACTGCAGATGGTGACTGCAGCCATGAAATTAAAAGATGCTTACTCCTTGGAAGAAAAGTTATGACCAACCTAGACAGCTTATTAAAAAGCAGAGACATTACTTTGCCAGCAAATCTATGGTTTTTCCAATAGTCATGTATGGATGTGAGAGTTGGACTAAAAAGAAAGCTGAGTGCTGAAGAATTGATGCTTTTGAACTGTGGTGTTGGAGAAGACTCTTGAGAGTCCCTTGGACTGCAAGGAGATCCAACCAGTCCATCCTAAAGGAGATCAGTCCTGGGTGTTCATTGGAAGGACTGATGTTGAAGCTGAAACTCCAATACTTTGGCCACCTGATGGGAAGAATTGACTCATTTGAAAAGACCTTGATGCTGGGAAAGATTAAAGGCAGGGAGAGAAGGAGAGAACAAACGATGAGATAGATGGCATCACCGACGTAATGGACATGAGTTTGAGTAAACTCCGGGAGTTGGTGATGGACAGGGAGGCCTGGTGTGCTGCAGTCCATGGGGTTGCAAAGAGTCAGACATGACTGAGTGACTGAACTGAGCTGAACTAAAGGAAAAAAGGGATCCTTAAACTTTGTGCCTCTAGAGAACAGAGGATCATCCATGACATTCTATCTTGTGATATCTTATCAGTGGAAAATGAGATTTATTAATCTCTTCTCTAGACAAAATTAAAAATTTTTTTCATTTATCCAGATATCAATTTGTATGCTTTTCATCAGTACTTAAAGGCTATATAAAATGCTTTTATAAAGCTCAATATTTTTATGCAAACTACATTTTAGACATCAGTTCAGTTCAGTGGTTCAGTCATGTCTGACTCTTTGCGACCCCATGAATCGCAGCACACCAGGCCTCCCTGTTCATCACCAACTCCCGGAGTTTACTCAAACTCATGTCCATCAAGTCAGTGATGCCATCCAGCCATCTCATCGCCATCTCATCTTCTGTCGTCCCCTTCTCCTCCTGCCCGCAATCCCTCCCAGCATCAGGGTCTTTTCCAATGAGTCAACTCTTCCCATGAGGTGGCCAAAGTATCGGAGTTTCAGCTTCAGCATCAGTCCTTCCAATGAACACCCAGGACTGATCTCCTTTAGGATGGACTGGTTGGATCTCCTTGCAGTCCAAGGGGCTCTCAAGAGTCTTCTCCAACACCACAGTTCAAAAGCATCAATTTTTCGGCGCTCAGCTTTCTTCACAGTCCAACTCTCACATCCATACGTGACCACTGGAAAAACCATAGCCTTGACCAGACGGACCTTTGTTGGCAAAGTAAGGGCTCTGCTTTTTTTTTTTAATTACAGCTCTGTTTTATTTAGAAGTTAGCAGGAGAATCCATCCTCGAAGCGTGAGGGCATGCCGACCCAAAGACAGAAAGAGAGTGGAGGAGCGTGCCAGCGCATGGGAGAGAAAAAGAGAGGGAGAGAAAGAAAAAGAGCGCAGGCACACTGGGGAGTGAGAGAGAGAGAGAGCACACGCATGCACGCGTGGAAGAGAGAGAGGAGGTCTCTGCTTTTTAACGTGCTATCTAGGTCAGTCATAACTTTCCTTCCAAGGAGTAAGCATGTTTTAATTTCATGGCTGCAGTCACCATCTGCAGTGATTTTGGAGCCCAAAAAAATAAAAAATAAAGTCTGACACTGTTTCCACTGTCTCCCCATCTATTTCCCGTGAGGTGATGGAACCAGATGCCACGATCTTAGTTTTCTGAATGTTAAATTTAAGCCAACTTTTTCACTCTCCTCTTTGACTTTCATCAAGAGGCTCTTTAGTTCTTCTTGGCTTTCTGCCATAAGGGTGGTGTCATCTGCATATCTGAGGTTATTGATATTTCTCCCGGCAATCTTGATTCCAGCTTGTGCTTCTTCCAGCCCAGCATTTCTCATGATGTACTCTGCATATAAGTTAAATAAGCAGGGTGACAATATACAGCCTTGACGTACTCCTTTTTCTATTGGGAACCAGTCTGTTGTTCCATGTCCAGTTCTAACTGTTACTTCCTGACCTGCATACAGGTTTCTCAAGAGGCAGGTCAGGTGGTCTGGTATTCCCATCTCTTTCAAAATTTTCCACAGTTTATTGTGATCCACACAGTCGAAGGCTTTGGCGTAGTCAATAAAGCAGAAATAGATGCTTTTCTGGAACTCTCATGCTTTTTTGATGATCCAGCGGATATTGGCAATTTGATCTCTGGTTCCTCTGCCTTTTCTAAAACCAGCTTGAACATCTGGAAGTTCTCGGTTCACGTATTGCTGAAGCCTGGCTTGGAGAATTTTGAGCATTACTTTACCAGCGTGTGAGATGAGTGCAATTGTGCGGTAGTTTGAGCATTCTTTGGGATTGCCTTTCTTTGGGATTGGAATGAACACTGACCTTTTCCAGTCCTGTGGCCACTGCTGAGTTTTCCAAATTTGCTGGCATACTGAGTGCAGCACTTTCACAGCATCATCTTTCAGGATTTGAAATAGCTCAACTGGAATTCCATCACCTCCACTAGCTTTGTTCCTAGTGATGCTTTCTAAGGCCCACTTGACTTCACATTCCAGGATGTCTGGCTCTAGGTGAGTGATCACACCATCGTGATTATCTGGGTCATGAAGATCTTTTTTGTATAGTTCTTCTGTGTATTCTTGCCACCTCTTTTAATATCTCCTGCTTCTGTTAGGTCCATACCATTTCTGTCCTTTATCGAACCCATCTTTGCCTGACATGTTCCCTTGATATCTCTAATTTTCTTGAAGAGATCTCTAGTCTTTCCTATTCTGCTTTCCTCTATTTCTTTGCATTGATTGCTGAGGAAGGCTTTCTTCTCTCTCCTGGCTATTCTTTGGAACTCTGCATTCAAATGGGAATATCTTTCTTTTTCCCCTTTGCTTTTCACTTCTCTTCTTTTCACAGCTATTTGTAAGGCTTCCTCAGACAACCATTTTGCCTTTTTGCATTTCTTTTCCATGGGGATGGTCTTGATCCCTGTCTCCTATAAAATGTCATGAACCTCCGTCCATAGTTCATCAGGCTCTCTGTCTATGAGATCTAGTCCCTTAAATCTATTTCTCACTTCCACTGTATAGTCATAAGCAATTTGATTTAGGTCATACTTGAATGGTCTAGTGGTTTTTCCCTACTTTCTTCAGTTTAAGTCTGAATTTGGCAATAAGGAGTTCATGATCCAAGCCACAGTCAGCTCCTGGTCTTGTTTTTGCTGACTCTATAGAGCTTCTCCATATTTGGTTGCAAAGAATATAATCAATCTGATTTCGGTGTTGACCATAGAAAACCCTTACTAATATCCAGTGACCTATGGCCTATATTTAAAGAACCACCTTTCTCTTTTTAATCCTCTGTGCTTAGTTGACAGCTCAGTCATATCCAACTTTCTGCAACCCCATGGACTGTAGTCCACCAGGCTCCTCTGCACATGGGGATTCTCCAGGCAAGAATACTGGAGTGGGTTGCCATGCCCTCCTCCAGGGGAATCTTCCCAACCCAGGGATCAATTCCAGGTCTCTCGCATTGCAGGCAGATCCTAAGCCACCATGGAAGCCCTTTAATCCTCTAGCTGAAAGCAAACCAACCAACCTAAAACCTGGATGTTAGTGATTAACTTGCTGAGGAAATGCAAAAATTACAATCTTTTGAAATTCCAAGTGTCACCAAATATTTGAGCAAGAGAATAAAGCAGTGATATGGAACAAGGTTTTTCAACCTTTACAGTTTGAGCCAGATTAATTCTTGTTTATTGGGGTTGTCCTGTGCATCATAAGATAAGTAGGAATATTTCTGATCTCTATTCATTAGATGCCGGTACAACCATTCCACCCTCCCAGTTATGATAACAAAAAAATGTCTCAGGACACTGCCAAATATGTCCTGGAGAAGGGCAAAGCCATCTTTGGCTGAGGGCTACTATTATAAAGTGATAGGAGGATAAAGTCCAAAGTTCGATAATCAATAAAAAGCTGGAAGAGTGCAGTCACAGCAGTATTAATTTGGTTTTTCTTGTACTATCTCAAAGTTTCTCCAAAGTTTCATATTTTCCCAATGGAATAATTTCTTCATAGTACAAGTGACACTTGAGACAAGAAGAAAAGTTTATTTTACTGTCCAATTATTTTCTTTAAAAAATTTAATTTTTGACAAAATAAAACAAACTTTTAGTACCATAGAAACCTTTTGACATGTACAATGACATATTATTACTATGTACAACTTCAAAACAAATGCTTCCAAGTAAAGTGATGTTGAACACCATGACTATACTTAAGTTGTAAGAAATATCCAAGATGGTCAATGTTTTCCTTAGCTTGGAAAAAAATACAACTGAAAAATATAAATAATACCTTCCATCAGCTGTGAATCATAAAAATGCTTTCTGAAGTTCAGTCACCTGGATCTTATGAAATATGTAGGAGTTACAAGAATTGAACAAGCAAAATGAAAGCCTGTGTATATTCAAACATGAGTATTCCAGGAGAGGTCCTGTAGGTTCACAGTCAGTCTATCAAAAATAAAAGCTACTCTTATTGTGGTGGAACTTATTTAGTATCTGGCTCATAAACCATTCTTCACCAGCTCATGGACTCCATTCTCATCAATGATTAAAGGTGCATGGAATTCTTTATCTGCCACATAACATTCTAGTCCCTAAAAGGAGGGTTGAAATAAAAACACAGTTAGAAAACGGATCAACTCGTCATGCAGTGCTGGACTTAGTGGCTATAATAATGACATAAAGCATGAATGCTCAAAGTTGGATTGAGATACAGAAATTTAAAAGTCAATAAAAAACTCTAGTTTACTTTTAAAACTGGGTTTAATGGCCTATTTATGGAAGCATAAAACAAACAACAAAAAGAGGGAAAAGCATTCTGATTATAACATAATATTTAAAGTTAATAAGATGACAGTCATTCTTCCTATAATCATCACCCAACAGTTAACATTCTAAGCAAGGTGGCTATTTCTGATACTAGAACTAACCAAGCTGACAAGGATCTCCAGAAAAACAAAACAAAAAAAAAAACAGTACATATTAGAATAAAAGGACCCCTACATCCCATGGTCTTAAAAGTGAAAGTACTAAGCATATGAACAAAGGAGACCCACTGGGGAAAAAAAAAATATATATTGCACTTTTAAAAGCCAGAAGATTTACCTAAAAAAGCAAGGCTTATTTTTAAAGACCACTGCATTTTGATATACAGGTAAAATGAACTAAACACTAAACATTCTGTTCATGGCAACTAAGGCACTGGTACAAAGCCATACCGGGAATTTCCCGAGAGGCTTCTCACTCTCAGGATGAGCTCCTCAGGGCACGCCCACTGGAAAATGCCGTATCTTCTCCAAGGACAACTCTGTGCTGTGCTTAGTTGCTCAGTTGTGTCCGACTCTTTGGGACCCCAAGGACTGGAGCCCACCAGGCTCCTCCTGAGAATCCATAGGATTCTCCAGGCAAGAATACTGGAGTGGGTTGCCATGCCCTCCTCCAGAGGATCTTCCCAACCCAGGTATCAAACCGGGTTTGACTGTAGGTGGATTCTGCATTGTAGGTAGATTCTTTATCAGCTGAGCTACCATGGAAGCCCAAGGACAACTCTACTTCATCATAAAACAATATCACAATCCTACTTTTAAAAGAATAGGGAAAAGAACAAAGCAGACTTACTTCTCCAGCATAGGAGATAAGAGGAGAGATTTCACACTGGATTGGCACATCATTGGCATCCTTCAAGCTAAGAAAACAATCAGACATGTTAAAGGTTCTGTTTCCCATGTTGCTTGCCAGAGTGAAAATACACATTATAACTTCCCTCTGAGAAGCCTGCAGGTAACAAAATTCTCCTAAACAATTAGAGTAGCTCCTACCCTCATGATCACTAAACTTCCTGGGGAGTAAGTTAACACAAACTCATCGTGGTTCAAAGGGCACTACTTGGGATATGTGCTGGTAATCAGCAGGAGCTCGTCACAGTACCTCACCAACCCTGATATACTTATCCCTTAATGTACACACTATCTTTTATCATTTCCAAATTTTGATTCCATAAAGAAAGGACTATTTGCTGAGTATACACTGTATTCCAGGCTCACAGCTGGACAATTTGAATCTTTCGAATTTCATTTTAATCCTTGTCACAACCTCACATGTTAGGTGCTAATGTTGACCAACATTCTAAAGCTACCCTGTCCAATACAATGACCACTAGCCACATATTGTTGTTTAAACTTGGATTAATTAAAATTTTAAAAATTAATTCAAAATTCAGTCTCTCATTCATAATAACCACATTTCAAGTGCTCAGTAGCCATGAACAGCTAGCAACTACCAAACTGGACAGCACAGATACAGAACATTCCTTCACTGCAGAAAATTCTAATCGGACTAAAAGGTGAGTTAGATTATCTCCCAGTACAGCCCACATCTCCTAGATTAGCTGAGCTGACTTATTCAGTGTTTCAAGGACCAAAGTCCCTTCACTGCACCCCAGTGAAGGCAAAGCTGAAGTCACCACTTGCTTCCTCTAGATCACATTCTAACATTTACATCCACTTGCAATACTGAGTTCCTAAATTACATAACACAAAAGTCAATTAAGAGTGCTTTTAATATGCCTAAAGTCACTAACCTCGAGATATTTCACCATTTTGAGAATTTTACCAGTAAGATACAGGGCACATGAAAAATCTAGTCTTTGGCAGCCTCAAACCATTAGCTCTCCTTTGTTTCACCAAATATGCAAGTCTGACGCTTTGGTGGGGTCAATAAAATCAGAGACCTTCTGAGGTCAGCCACACCCAATCTTTCTCCAAACAACTATTTAGTGAGCCTTCCAGGCACTCTATACCCTATTCCAACTCACTTGCCTACTACTTCGAAGTCAAACCAGACCAGACACAGGCACTTTAGATTACTGCAAGTCATTCTCAACTATGGTCCCTTTAACTATTCAAATCATACCCACCCTCCAAGACTTAACTCAAGCCCCAACTTTCCTTTGACCACTGCATTTTACAGTGACTGTTCTCATTCATTTATTTATAAAAACAAATAAATAAATTTATTAGACATGTGATAAGTCACATGCCTCCTAGGGTAATTACTATTTATACCACACATTTAACACATAAACAACATCACTGTCTGATGATTTACTTAACTTTAATGTATGTGCATCTTGAATCTCCCAGGAGGCTGTAAGAAATGCCTAATTTCTCTTATGTATGCTACTTCAGTCCCTGGGGTTTCAGTACCTGAAGGTCTGTGTGCAGGCCTACAAATGCATGTTGGCTGAATGAACAGATGAACTATGAGGGTAGACAGATGGGAGACTAATTCAAGTCAAAGATGAATTAAGAAATGGAGCACTTGTGTCTGCAGCCTGAGATGTAGCTGTGTCAGATTGTATCAAAAGAGCTCAAGAGGTCCAGACCCTCTGGGGACAGCCTGGAGTCACATAAAACCAGATGGGAAAATGATAGCCCATTCCATTGATAAGATGTGTATAGAGCCCAGTCCCACCGGAACCCCTAAAGGATTTGGTGTGCCAGTAATTAACTGAAGGTGTTTTTAAACCCAAGGAACACAAACCAACTTGAACATAACTTCCCTTCCGTACCACAGATATCCCCCACAAAACTCAGCAAGTTGGATGCCAGAGAGAAGACAGGAGCTGCCGTTACCAAATGTGAAATCTCAGGGGACAGCCGAATCAGTTGTCCCCTATCCTTCAGCTCTGGCAGCTAACGCTGCCGAGCAGGTGTTAAGGTGAAAAGTAAAAATAATTTCATTCTGTCAAAATTTAGCATCTTGGCTTCCCTTCTTTCAGAACACCTCCAAGCTGCTTCTTCCCACTTTTATAAAAAATACTTCCCTTTCATCTCTCATTTTTAAATAATCTTTTTCTATTCTTTGAGGGTATCCTTTAGTGCTAAGAACTTAGGAAGACCTATTTCTAAGTCTATGATCTCATTTTGGGCCAAACTTTGATTTCAGTTTAACTATTCAAGAAATGACTACAAATGAAGTAAATGAGGGTGAGGGAGTGTGAAATAAAAGAACTCAAACAAGAAATAAATAATGTTTAAAACATTTTGTACCTTACCTGAGATAGCTGCATGTTGTTTTCAGCTATATACTTAAACAGCTATCTCACTTAACAGATTGAAAGCTGTGTTTCAATGAAAAGGAAATTCAGGATCAAAACTTTATTTTTTCAAATTGTAAAAGCAGCTTGCTTCCACATGTTAAAAATGATGGATGGGATAGAAAATGACAAAAGGCTCTACGTCCCAGCCGCCATGGCACAAGGGGCAGCTCTAAGAACTAGCCAGCTTTGCGTCTATGCCCTTACGTCCAGGGCCACGTCCCGGAAACACCTGACACTCACAGGGACTTGTCTCTGCAGGGTCAGGATGAGTGGCACAGGCAGGAGAAAACACAACAAGGACACGGACATCCCTGCTACTCTGTTTCTGAGATAAACGCCATCTCCAGATCCTTGGCTCTGTACACATGTCCCACATTATCCTAAAAATTTAAAATTCAAACTAAACCCAATAACTTTCAAAGTGTAATAAGGATATCAAGCTGTCTCTCTGGCTATAAAGATAATGACTTTTTCAAACTTTGTCAGTACCCAAGTAAGAGAAGGAATATGCTACTCCTAGCTAAAAATTATCAACTATTAAGACAAAAAGGTACTTTCTTTAGGAGCAGGATAATAACTGACTAAAATAAACACAGAGATACCAAAAATGGAGCGGTTACCATGAAACTAAATCAAAAGAACAGTTCTCTCCACATTAAGAGCCATCCAATATGTCAGGAGCAGTTAGCCTTTGTACTGAGAGCAGATATCTAGTTCAATAAGACACATCCATAGAATGTAACTTTTATCCAGCTGATGCTTATGCTAAAAAGGGTACTCGGACCCACATTTGTTCTTCCTGACCTGTAACCTGCTTTAGATTTTTACCTTTCACTTGTAAACTTGTCAGTACAGGCTCAAATACCTATGGTGAGAGTCTTTAGAAAAGCATGCTCCCCCTTTCTAGCATGCACTGAGGTTCAGGGTTAGTGCCATCCAGACAGACCTGCCACCACGGAAGCAGTAGCCCCACCACAGCTTCAGCCCTTCAGCCCAGACCACCGAAGGCAGAGAGCATGGAACTACGCCGCCAGTTAGTACAGAGGGAAGCACAGCCCCACCACCATGCACCGCAGGCAGGCTGGCATATTTACTTGTGATTGACATCAGCTGTGATGGCCTCTGACTTTCCATGTGTAGCACTGCTATGTAGGAATAAATAAGCATTAATGGGAATGGAAACAAACCAAACAATAAAAATGAAGTGGAACTGCAAAATATACTTGACTGAAAGGCATGTATTCACGGTAAATTATAAACTTGGCAAAGGAGATCTGAGGGGGCAAAACAAACAAACAAAAAAGCCCACAACAACAACAACAAAAAAACCCTCAGTGGTCAAAGATGAAGCATGAGGACCATCTGACATGCCGCAGAGCTAGCTTGTTGACAAGACAGAGCCTGAAAGTGGCCTTGGACCGAGACAGTCAACCACTGCTCCTTCTTAATAAAGACAGTGGTTTATAACGTACCCAGGAAGTTCCAATACCCAATGTTCGGACAGTTAACAAGGCATTCTAGCACCTTGTGCACAGTCTTTTTATCCCTTAAGAGTTATATATTATATGGCTGAATGTTTTTGACAAAAGTATAGAAACATCAAATAATTTAGAAAGGGGGAATTCTAAGTATCAAGGGAGGATTTATCATAAAATATAAGACAGCTGAAAAGCACTTTATCTCATATTTGAATAGCTCCAAAGATCTTCTTTTTTTTTTTTTTTAAACTTCTAAAATCCGAAACATTTCAACAGTTTGAGTATCAGTGAATATAACTAGCATGCACATTCCTTCCTGGCACCTCCCTCTGCAATCTTAAAGTGCCACAGGGAGAACTGAAGTATGCGTATGCCTCAGAGGCAGCCTGTGGGTGCCAGGTCTTCTGGGGTGGGGGTTCGTGGATGGCGCTTGAGGCCACAGATATCAGGGCAGCAATAATCAGCCCTCTTTCCCTGTGGCACAGTGGCTGCTGATGGTCTTTAACCCTGTGCCATACCAAAAGAACTGCCTCCTGACCGTTCTTCAGCAGGAGTCATGTCAGGGACATGGTAGAGCGGCACCCCAGAAAACAAAAGCGTTAGAAGGTTCCTCTTTCAGGGGAAGTAAAGCTATTGCTCTCTCTGTGAGGGGCCAAGCCTTCATTACTTCACATCATGAACTGCCACAACAATATTCAGCTCTTTTAAAAGTTCTAGGACCACATCAGACACAGAGGAGAAAGCAGCCCAAGAGGACAAGTACAGGAGGCAGCCACACAAAGAAGCAAAGATCCCAACCTACCGGGGAATGGCCGGGAGGCGAGAGCCATTTTCATCTATGAAGTGGCCCCCTGCATTGAGGACCCAGCAATGATGGAGGGACATCAAAGCGTGCCTTGCAGTAGTAGGGTTGTCCTTCCCATTCTGACTGTCTGCATTCTTCAGTGGGGAAAACTCATCTTCCCGTAATACTTCATATACCACAAACTTCCTAAAGTGAAACCATACAAACACTGCTTTATTATGAAGTAAAACTGCACACACAGCTTCTAACTCTTCTCCACATAGCTAGGCCTTTGGTAGTCAATTACAGTCTCTCTTAATGCAATTTCAAATGAATGCTGAAACAAAGAATGTTCATCCTTGGATGAAATAAATTTGGAATTATCTTCTTCACACAAAATGAGAAATCCTTCCCCAACAATATACATATGACACAAATCTCAACTCAAGTTAATGTGATCTTTAATCAATAGAACAGAGAGCAATATAAGTTAAAAACATGCTCACTGAAACATTTACTCATAGGCCAGTAAAGGCCTAACCACAAAATGGGCCAATTCTCTGTATCAATCTTTTTTATCTCTCAGCCAAAATAAGAGACTTTAACAATTTTTCAAGAGAGCCAGATAATACAATAATTGAAATTTTTTAAAAAGCATTCACAGGCAACTCAAACCATATTCGTGCCTTGGTGGTTTCATACCAGAGAATGATAATGAATCTAAACTATATACTCACAGTGAAAACACCATGCCTGACATACCTGCTGTCAGCTGTTTTCTGAAAACAGTGTCCTGCCTAGAAGAGCAAAAAGCAACATCTCAAGACATACTTAATCTTACTGATGCTATTCAAAACGTACTTTGCAAACTGGAAGATATCAAAGACAAATTTTTCCATCTTTATTCCATTTGGTTTGTCTGGCTTAATTAACTGCCCCTGGGAATCCACAAATGGAATCTTCTTTTGAGCAACATGGTGCTGCAACTGAGGTTCATAAATACTATGGAGGGAAAAAAGGAAAAAAAGACAATCACTTTCCAAATTTAAAATGCCGAAGAATCTAATAATCACACTCAGGAGCTAATGCATCAACAAATACTAAGACTTTCAAAGGGAAGGGCATTCATTAAATTTCAGTTCATATTTAAATATTAAATAAACAGATTTCCCTATTCATTTCTTTAAAAAAATCAAATGATGATCTCTACAATAAAAAAAATAAACACACACACAGCTCATAACAACGTCTCTTCCATAATTTCCATGTCTTATATAAAAATGTTCCACTCTCAGCCCCAATTTTCCCAACTGGGATCCTGTCAAGTGTTAGATGGAAAGATGAGTATTTATAGTTACTATGGGTGAATTACTAACACAGCCACAAAAAGCACAGCTGGAAATATTTTGGAACTGGAGCTGAAATTGTAAGGTAAAGCTTAGTAACTTTTTAAACAGTAGGCAGTCATCTTGAAAGTCTGAAAAGCAATCGAGTGAAGAATCAGATATTGAGAAGGTCCTTCATTTAAAAATCTGGTGGGATACTTCTGGGCATACACACTGAGGAAACTAGATCTGAAAGAGACACGTGCACCCCAATGTTCATCTCATCGCAGCACTGTTTATAATAGCCAGGACATGGAAGCAACCTAGATGCCCATCAGCAGATGAATGGATGAGGAAGCTGTGGTAAATATACACCATGGAATATTACTCAGACGTTAAAAAGAATTCATTTGAATCATTTCTAATGAGATGGATGAAACTGGAGCCCATTATACGGAGTGAAGCCAGAAAGATAAAGAACATTACAGCATACTAATACATATATGTGGAATTTACAAAGATGGTAATGATAACCCTATATGCAAAACAGAAGAGACACAGATGTATAGAACAGACTTTTGGACTCTGTGGGAGAAGGCGAGGGTGGGATATTTCGAGAGAATAGCATGTATATTATCTATAGTGAAACAGATCACCAGCCCAGGTGGGATGCATGAGACAAGTGCTCGGGCCTGGTGCACTGGGAAGACCCAGAGGAATCGGGTGGAGAGGGAGGTGGGAGGGGGGGTCGGGATGGGGAATACATGTAACTCTATGGCTGATTCATGTCAATGTATGACAAAACCCACTGCAATGTTGTGAAGTTATTAGCCTCCAACTAATAGAAATAAATGAAAAAAAAAATCTGGTGGGATAAAACAACCCTTTATTATAATTAGCTGACACCACTATGCTGATTTCCATGCTTGGTCTCAAGCTCTTTTTTCTTTACTTTCCAATCTACTAGTTCCTAAATGCTAGTCAGAGAACCAGTTAAATTAAATTGTGTGGGCAGCGTTTTAAAAAATACGGATGTCTACATCGACCTTCAGAAATTCTGATTCAGTAGATGTACGGCAGATATGTGTATATTTTGAAGTTTCCAGTTGTAGAGAGAGAGGGTGTTGCCTTTCTTACTCGTTACTTCACCAGAATTGAGCACAGTTAGAGGGAAGGAGAAGAAAAGGGAGAAGTGCTTTGGACTCCAGTTAATGCAGAAGGAGAATGGGCTACTACAAATCTGCACCTGGTGATACAGCTTACTAAAAACAACCAGAGTGTCAAGTAAACTTCTATCTGATAAAGGAGATCCTCAGGAAGGAAGATGAATTGTGGATTTGAAGTTTCTTCCTAATTCTCAGGTGACTTAGCTTCTGATTAACAGTAAATAAAGTTTTTAAAAGCCCCCAGCTTGCCCATACTTGACAACATCTCTCAGAAATGGTACGGTGAAGAAATGGTTGGCAATGTTCCCGGCGTTGAACAGCAGTCGTCCATCTGAGCTTCGTTTCTGAGCTGTTGCCAGAGAAATCTCACTATACTCCACCACCTGGTATACTCCATCCACTCTGCAAACCACTCCAACTGGTTCTGTAGGGTTTGTTTTCTCCACCACCTACCCACCAAAGGAAGAAAACAGTAGAGAAAGAAATCTGATCAGGTGCTATGCTGGAGATCTGTCATTTTCCAAGATCATGTTTACAATTCTGCTTACTTGATCTTTAAGGTATAAAATCAAGAGGAATCTTTAGAAATTCATCTATCTTTATATTTGATAGACTACTTTTGAACTAGAAAGAGGTAAATTATTTCCCTCCTATTTATCAACTAACTGCAGAGTAGAAATTCCATCACACACATAGGGCCCAGAAGAAATCACACCGGACTGCGAATAACTACATCCCCCCATCTAATATATTTTCACTATTGAATTGATCCTCAGTCACACTCAACTACTTTGAGAATAAATGAAACAAAACCTCTCTGAGATTCACAAGACAAAAGAAGGCATTTTGCCTCTCATTTTATATTGCACAAGTCATTATTTCATTTGAAAACAGTGTTGCTTTCATTTTCATTCATGAATATAGTAAATTCCTTATTTTTCAGGCACTTGGCTAGATGGTAGCAGGGTTAGAGCAGGCAGGTCACAGGGTTCCCACTCCAACTTGAATCAGAAAAGTCCACTCACATTTATGTCTTGCAGGCTTGGTTTTATTTGAAGTAAGAGATTCTATGCTTTTTTAAAGTCTGAAAACCAGTGATTTGATAATCTAGCAAAGGCTCTAGGATGGTGAGGGAGCTGAGAGAAAAGTGTTTAGTCAAAATCAGAGGGAAAACATAGGAGTATATCATTTTTTAAAAAAACCTCACAGGTGATTCTGATACCCCACCACCCTATTTATGTATCACTGACCTAAATTAAGTGTTTAGAATAAAATTATAAAGGAACCCTAAGTAATGCACTAATAGAAAACTCAAGCCTCATTTGAGATGAATATTCAGCAGAAGAATCAAACAATCAAAAGGTTTGAAAATATTTGTTTTGCCTTGTTCTGTTAACAATTCAACATACTCCAGAGTATTTTGAAAAAACTGTCCTTAACTTGAAAAGTCTCTCCAAAGTATACATGAAATTATACCAATGAAATTAAAGTTTTTTTCTTCAGCAACTGATTTCATAAAATAAATACAGCCAGCCAGTCCCTTCCAGACAACTAAAGTCACTCCTGAGCCCTTCGTTTACACTGCAATTAGAGGTACAGGCGCTGCGTGTAGCGCAGTGAGGCTGGGATGCTGGACACGCTGGCCTGCTGTGGAGTTTCACTGTCTGCCACCCTGAAAGGGGTACAGTATCCAATGAAAAGAACCCTTCTCCCACAGAAGTGGATAAAACTGAGAGAACACATAGCAAAATGATTCAAACCAATCATGAGCCTATTTCCAATCCCAGTCTATCAAGCCATCACCACCTCTCACTTCACATTCTATACAGTGGGTATCTCAGTAGACAGGGCATCTGGAATAGATTCCTCCCATCTACATTAAAACACACACACACACACACACACACACATGAGGTTAGTTTTCCAATCACTTCTATATAACCCTACTCCTGATCAGCCATGGAAAATAAAAATAAGCATATCCATAACTTTCCAAGTGTTAATCTGCCAGTGAAAGGTTTGCTTTTATAACAACTATGAACCTCCAAATACTGTAAAAGTCTAGATTATAAAAGAAACTATTTGTAAAGTACATGAAGTTGGAAGTCAGTTTATATTCTACAGAAAAGATATGCAGCATAGAATTAAGAGGTCTCTTGATTTCCTACAAGTTAAGTCCTGAAAAGCTGAGCTCAAAATAATAACTTCAACCTCAAAGTTACTATAAGTGTTCTACAAAATTATCTTTAGTTAATAATCATTCCTACTCTCTCAGCTATGGACTTCTGTAAAGCACTCCACTAAGTCTTTTCTCAAGGCTCTCACTTCATTAAAGATGCTTCATTCCCCAAGGCAGGAGACTATTAAATAAGAATTAAAATGAATTCTCTGCAAAGAAGTCTACTACCCTCTATGAATCACTCCCTAATTTAGGGGTTTTTTAAAGTATATTTTAACATCTATGATTTTTTAAATTAAAAGAGTGGGAGGACAGATTAAATAAATGGTTTCTAACATCTCTAAAATTTGTTAACATATACCAGTCTCTTAATATTTCAGTTCCATCTGAATATTTATTTATTCATTCATTGAGAGACCACTACATTTTATGCTAGACACAGAACAAGCAGGAAGACTGAGAACGGATTTGTCCTAGAGGACCCACGGGGTGTAAAGAGAAAATGGTTATATTTACATCCCGGTATGATTAGAATACTGAAAAAAGTGAGCAGAACAATTCAAAGTTTTTTGAGCTGCCGACAAAAACAAAATTAACGAATTGATTTATTAAAGTGATATAATACTAAAACTAAGAGCTGGGAAACATTTCTAATTCTGCCTCTGCTAATGTGATGATGGACCTAGAGCCTGGAATGCATTTAGTACTGGAACTCAAAGTGTTCATTTCTAGATCAAAGGGGCTGACCAGACGATCTCTGAGGTCCCTCCCAGGTTCAGCATTCTCTGATCATTTAGAATTTAAATTGATTCTGAAGCTGAGTTGGAGAAGGAAATGGCAACCCACTCCAGTACTCTTGCCCAGAAAACTCCATGGACAGAGGAGACTGGCAGGCTACAGACCACGGGTCACAAGGAGTCAGACACGACTGAGCACGCACATGCTGAAGCTCAGAGCAGTACAACTTTAAGCTTCTGTCTTAGAAGGAACAGTGACACCACGTGGAACAAAGTCAGAAATACAGTTTTGTTTTCTTTTTCAAAGCTTAGTAGCTTTAAAAAGTTAACCTACTATTCCCTGTTAGGGGAGGGGAGAGGGGTTCTGAAGCAGGAATTGTGGGCTGCTATTGGTCACCAGAGGGAGCCCCTGGCAGGGCACAGGTGAGTACAGTTTCTGATCTTCCCCTTTCTCCTCTCCAAAGTGGAGAGCACCCTGAAACCACTCAGAGCTGAGTCCCACCCCAGAACAGGCAGGGGGACTGAACGCCAAACCTAGAATCTTCCAGGTGGAGCAAGCCTCAGCGAGTACAATCCAACGCACTATTATAGTTCAACAGCTATTCACAATGGGGCACAGATACTCATAGAGTACTGAAAGGGACAGAGATCTTCAATCAGTGAGCTAAACCCTTAATTTTCAGAGTTAGGAGGAGTCTTACTAGGTCTATCAGCTTAATCTCTCAAAACTTATACTGGAAAGTTTAAGACTTCAGCTTCTATGACTTTGCATTAGATTTGTAGATTAATTTTGAAATGGCATCTTTATAACAGAAAATCTCCAAACAAAGATACATCTCTTATGGTAGCACTTCTTTTTTTCTTTTATTTATTTTTTTTATTGAAGGATAATTGCTTTACAGAATTTTGTTGTTTTCTGTCAAACCTCAACATGAATCAGCCATAGGTATACATGTATCCGCTCCCTTTTGAACCTCCCTCACATCTTCCTCCCATCCCACCCCTCTAGGTTGGTACAGAGTCCCTGTCTGACTTTCCTGAGCCACACAGCAAATTCCCGTTGGCTGTCTATCTTACATATGGTAATGGAAGTTTCCACCTTACTCTCTCCATCCATCTCGCCCTCTCCTCCCCTCTCCCCATGTCCATAAGTCTGTTCTCTATGTCTGTTTCTCCACTGCTGCCCTGTAAGTAAATTCTTCAGAACCATTTTTCTAGATTCTGTATATATGCATTAGAATACGATATTTATCTTTCTCTTTCTGACCTATTTCACTCTGCATAATAGGTTCTAGGTTCATCCATCTCACTAGAACTGACTCAGAAGTGTTCCTTTTTATCCATTGTGTGTATGTACCACAATTTCTTCATCCATTCATTTGTTGATGGACATCTAGTTTCCTTCCATGTTCTGGCTATTGTAAATAGTGCTGCAATGAACAGTGGGATACATGTGTCTTTTTCAATTTTGGTTTCCTAAGGGCATATGCCTAGGAATGGGATCTCTCGGTCATATGGTGGTTTTATTCCTAGTTTTTTAAGGAATCTCCATACCGTCTTCCAAAGTGGCTGTATCAATATACATTCCCAACAGTGCAGCACTTCTTTTTAAATTCATATATTTAAAATTTATATTCAGCTTAATTTGCTTTTGTCAGAAACTTATATGTGGCTTTTGCTTTTGGCAGAAAGGGCCCCCTTCATGTCGATTATAAAATTATTCCAACAATACTATAAATCAACTAACTGCAGTAAATAAATAAATAAAATTATTTTAAACTTTCTTCTAACATCTTTATGGTTTTTCACTTTGTAATCCATTTGAAATTGATTTTGATATGAGCTCTGAGGGAGACATCTTAGTTTATTTTAAGCCAGTTTCCCATTAATTGTCCTGCAACGATTTGAAATGCCATCTTTGTATACAGTACATTCTTATATATATGTGAATTTGTTTCTGATTATCTGTTCCATTATTCTGTCATTCTATTCTGATTTCAGCACTACACTCCTAGTTACTTTTTATTTACAACGCATTTTAATAGCTGATAGATTGTTAAAACTCTTCCTTCCTAATTATCATTTTTTCAACATTTTCCTGGTCATCTTTACATGTTTTTTCTAAACTTTACAATAATTTTTTCAAATGTCCCCAATATAGTCTCATTGGGACTTTGATCAGGATTATGTTATACTTTAATTCAGTGAGACCTGATACCTTTACAGATTTCCAGGAAAGTAATATTTACATTAGCATTTTAAAATTTTCCAAAAGTATTATTAAGGTCTTTCATGTCACAAAGTCAAGTCTCTTATATTATCATCTGTGAACTAAGAAAAAAATGCTAAAAATTACTATGGCAAGGACAGTCTTGTTATACAGCATTACAAACCTCCCTCTGTTTCAGTATCCGTATGTTTGTGATCACTCAAGCAGTTATTTAATCTCCTTAACTTGCCTTCCACCCAATCTGCATATTTCCATCTTAATGCACAGGACTATCATGAGTTACCTTGTCAAATGCCTTGCTGAAGTCTTCATGTGATATTTCTACCATATTTCTTTTACTTACTACTCCAGTATCTTTGCCATAGGAAGAAACTTGATATTAATGAATCCTACAACTTGATATTATTAAGTCCATCCAAGACCCAGTGATGACCATTCACTTTCCCAGGTACTTACAAATCATCCTCACATATTATAAACTCTTACCTGTGATGAACTAAGCATACACCATTATTTACAGAATCAAATGCTGCAAAATTAAAGAAAAAGTAGGTATGGGACAATTTAGCTACTTTAGTAGATGAATGGGTTTAAAATATCCAACTCACCCTAAAAAGTCTAGCTTGACTCCTGGAATATATACCGACAAGAGAAAGGCCACATAAAGCCTCATTATAGTTGAGAAAGGCATTACCTTTGCTCCACAGTCTGCTCCTTTCTGAATGCAAAATCCAATAAACCGTGGGTCTGCCACTTTCACTAATATGTTGTCAACACAATAGACATGAATGCTCCAAATGCCTCTTTGCTCCATATCCTCCACAATATTCTGGGCTGCAAGAGCCCGATAAAGACCACCATTCCCATCTGGAAAAAAAAAACAAAACTGCCTGTTAGTATCAAACCAAAATTCATTATGTAGGTAACTCAAAGATAGTTCAATGTTTCTAAACAGGGCAGAAGATCTCTGAAAACCAGTTTTACATGACAGGGCCAAGAAAAACTGAATATCTATAAGTAAGGATTCAGAGATCAAAAAGTTATACTATGTGATATTGAAGATAATTTACCATAAGTATACAGAGAATAACATTATTAATATAAGACTAGGCAATCCCAAAGAACATACTTTTAACTCAGTCCTTTTAACAATCTGGCCCATAATACACAGTGAAACATAAAATTCTTTATCAGGAAATGATTATTTTATAACATTTCAGTTTTATTTGCATGATTCAAATTAGCTCTGTATTTATAGCCCCAACACTGCCAATTTCATACACCTCAATAATAAACATATATGACCATCTATACCAAACAATTTGTTAAGAAAGCAGATTAATATGAAGGTCTATGGTGATTTAAATTAAATACAGGTCAAAGCCTCTTCTTTCTCCATCTATTTTTAGTGCTGCTTTAATATACTTCTTCCGTAACAACCTCAGTTACAGCCTAAATGATGACCAAAAAAATTAGACAACTTCACAAAACTAAGCTAAAAATAGTAAACTCTTCCATTAGTTAAAAAAAATTAAGCTGGGGTTAAAAAAAAAAGAGTTGAGATGAAATGAAAGTCTACATCTGCAGAGCACCACTGTAATACTATTTTTTATTTCCTTTCACCCTTTTCTCCAAGAAGTGAGTCACACAGATGAGAATGTGTGAGTTCTGTATTTCCCATTCTCTTACTTAACTTACTGAAACTATTTCACTGTCATTTGGTATCTACAAATGATTATTTTAATACTGTTTAAGAATGAATGCTACAGATAAACTATAATCTAGCCTCATTTTTTAAATAGCAGATGGTTTCCAATTTTTCACTATGATAAATAATGAGGCTATGAACAATACTGTATATAAAATACTGAGTAAAGAGAATAAATATTCTGAATGATGCTCAAATTGCTGTCAAGAGCACAGGAGGTATAAAAGCATATTCATTTCACCCATGGGCATTTCCATTTTTTAAAATCACTGACAAATTTAATTATATTAAGCAAAATATTAATTTTTGACATCAAAATCACCATAATGAAAAAATCAAAACTTAATGACCTACACTATGTAAATCAACCATACTTAAAAAAAAAAAAAAGTTAATGCATTGTGTTAAGTCCATTTCTATTCACCATTAATAGCACAGTTACAAACCTGGAGCCATAGAAACCTTATTCTTCTCTTCCAAAATAATTTTCCCATCAAAACTCATAGCAGGCAGCATTCCCTGCTGAAAAAAGATTACATTCTCTTTCTTTAAACCAAAGTACTTGTGTTTTGTGAAGAATTCCTTTGTAGATTCCATTGTTCTGCCACTGGTCATTATATACCTTGCAAGAGAAAAGCAGATATTCTAAGCAATAATGCTATGTGAATTAGGGCAAAATAAAGTTTATTTCCTAAGACAAAAAAATTTTTGAGAGCACTGTTTATTGTTTTCACTTCCTTCATCCTTTTCCTGAATAAGGCAGCATTAGTTGCTATCCAATGGGAATTTCTTCTAGTAACTTCATTAATCCTTATGTATAAAATAAATCTGTGGCCTCCTCCTGGGGGCTGGCCTGCTCCCATGTCTCTGAAGTATACTATCTGCTGCCTGTTTTAATAAAGTTCTGCTGCTTGAGCTGTAAAATAACTCTGCAACACAATATTAAAACACACCTCCTGTAACAGAGAACCTGCAACAGAGAGGCTCAAGAAAACATTTCAGAACTCTGTGAAAAGTATATTCTAAATCAAAATCTCTCCTATTCTAATAAAAGGGATAAAGGCATAAATGCAATACATTCTAATTACCTCTTATGGTTCTTTTTACTAAAATTTTGAAATGACATCTGGGCTCTGCTCACCCTTTACTTACAATCATAAAAGTAGAAATATACACTCTGTTGTCACAAAAATCCAACCCATGCCAATGTAGTAAAAGAGAAAAAAATTCTGTCTAAAATTGTAATTAGTGACTACAACAGCTTTTGCCCTTACTTACTGAAACGTAAGCTATGTGTGAGTAGGGATTTTTATCTGTTCTGGTTACTGATATATTCCCAGCACCTAGAGGCAGGTACTCACTTAAAATAAAAACAAGAAAAAATGGGACTTCCCTGGTGGCACCTAGAGGCAGGTACTCACTTAATACCTGTTAAATGCAAAAATGAAGAAAACTGTAAAATTTCCCAGGACAGTCAGTATCTGCCTGATTAACAAATTATCCTGGATATTTGAACTCTGGGCACAAAACCTTTTGCCATCATGATTCAAATGAAAAGGGACTAAACTGTTCCATGTAAGAAAAATAAATTTTGAGTTATGAGGAGAAAGAAAGAGAAGAAAATCCAACATGAAAGTGGGAGAGTACGGCTTGTAAGTAGAATTTTGGCCACTTAAAACACAGATGTCCCTCAAAAGTCCCCCAGGGAACCAAGACAAAAAAAAAAAAAACAAAAACCAGTTCACAGCTGGCCAATACCCTTCTTAAGAACTAGAAAAGCTGAGATAATTATAAAAAGCCTATTTTTAAAGGCATCAGAGAGCTACAAAAGCAACATGGATTAGAACTTAAAATTTAAGACAGTGAGAATCTTTCAAAGGAGACCTTCGGATACACAGCTGCCTTTTCCTGGGGGTATTTGCTGATCTCGGTCAAAGGCCAGTGGTAAGGAATCTGAGCTTGGACCAGGCTGCACAGAGAAACCAGCAGAGCTTTTGTTAGTCACCTGGGGCTAAAATAACAAGATGAGTGACTTCAGGGATTTCAAACACACAGCTGGTTTCCCCCTCAAAACATGACAATTTCCAAAGCTGCTCTGAGAAACAGATTCAAGAGCTAAATCAAAACCTTTTAAAAACAGAGCAGAATTTCCCATAATCTCTTGGTGTTCAGAAGATGAACAATGGCTGAGATAGGCCCTGGGGAGCTGGCATACAAGCAGAGACAGAAGCCAAGTTTGGCCCACAGCAGAGAAATCAGTGAGGCTTTCAGGTTTTTGTTTTTTTTGTTTTGTTTTTTTTTTTGGGTGGGAGGCGTTTCAGGAGGACAAGATAACCCAACACTTAAGGACATGAGTTTCTAGAGTGACAGAACCCACTGAGTGCCCACAGCAGTGACTGGAGACAGATCCACACGTCATCATGAAATTCCAGTTACTAAAGATAAGAAGAGACTCCAAATGCTTTCAGAGGAAAACGGGAGAAAAAAAGACTGAGAATCAGAATAGCAACAGATCTCTCAAAAGCAATGCTGGAACAATAGACCAATGCCTCCAAATTTCAGAGGGAAGCTGATTTTCAATCATATTCTGTACACAGACAAACTACCAAAAGTATGACATTTACAGACTGAGAGAACCCTCTGAGGATCCAAAAACTCAGGTAGGGGTTAAAGTTGGAAAGAAGTATATATTGCTCATTAAGGCTATAGTGATTATCTACCTAGCTATAATACAGATTGATTTTAACATATAAAGTACAGCTCCCAAGAAAATCTGTAGTAACAGGAAATAGCTCTGCTTATGAATAAAGTATATATGCATTTTGAATATGATAAGCCAATATATGTTCAGACACTCTCCCATAATGAATGAGATATATCTTACCATGGAATGATACATTTGTTGCCATGATATTTTTCAGCTAACTGCTGAAGCTTCAGGATACGCTCTGCTTGAATCTGAAAAAGTGTCTTATGGGATGGCAAACCAACATCATACATCCCCTTGGGATATGCAACACCAAGTCTTGTCCCCTGCCCACCAGCCAGAAGAAGAACTGCCACTTTGTTCTGAGAAATCTGGAAAAGTCCTAAAAGAGAAAACACCTGTATCACTCTATAATTCAACACTTTAGGGTTACACATACAGAGGTGGCTGCAAAGCATCACCCTAACTGCATAAGGCATAAAGAACAAGGAGTTCACAAGTAATCATGGATGACTACATTAATAAAAACACTTTTATTATTAAAAAATGAAGTTTATATAACCCAACCAAACACCAGACAATTAATAATATGCTGTAATGAACCAATAATTGTTATTCTGATAAGATTGGAAGGCAAAGACCAAGAGACGCTGCAAATGTTTTACAAGCACCTGACAACTTATTAGATGTGGCAGGTCAAGAAAAAGGATAGAAGAATATCCCCAGACTTCAAGATGAATGATGATGCTATTAAATTATCTCCAGCCTACAAATTAATCAATAATAACTGATTAATCAATTAGCATGTAAATATACTAGACAAATTACCATCCAGTAAATGGAAAGACAAGAAATCCTGAGTTGGGGAAGCCGTGTAGAACAATGGTTAAGAAGCCAGGCTCTGAAGTGAGGACACCTGGGTATGAAACCAAACCCAACTGAATGAGCTTAGGGAATGTGCCTGCAAAAGGGCATTAGGACACTTTGTGGGATGATGGAAATGTTCTATATTTTGATTGGGGTGGTAGTTTCATGGATGTATAAATTTTTAAAAACTCATAAAACTAGTGCATTTTATTGCATGTATTTATACTTTAATAAAATTGTTTAAAATGCCTTTTTTGGGGGGGGTCATCTACTGCAGCTCAGAAGGATGTGAAACAGAGTTCTTTTGAAACTGCAAGTGAAACAATAAAACTAAAAATGTTATTAAAAGACAGAGACTCTCAGTTTGGATTTGAAAAAAGCAAAATAAAAATAAAATCTTGCCATATACCACTTCTAGGAACTACCTCATCCCTCTAAGGTGGACAGTTTCAACACCCGAAGGGAGAAAAACCTGTGGGAAGAGGTAACATGTAGAGTGGATCTCTGAGAAGCTAGAAAAGCTGTAAAAGGTCAAATGTGATAAAGCAATGATTGATAGGTTTTGTTCTATTTTCTGAATTTCATACTTTCATTAAACTTCTCAGAAATTCTATGAATGAGGCAGATCACTACCCATAATTGCAGGTCAAGCCAGAGGGGACAGTAGTGGCCAGGATCAATTTGTCTGTCTAAATTACCAACTTTATGCTTTGTGTGTTTGTGTGTGTTGGTCTTACATGTTTCTGACACATTATGTGTGTATGTGTGTGTGTGTGTGTTGGTCTTACATGTTTTTGACATATCGTGTGTCTGTGTCGGTCACTCAGTCATGTCTGACACTTTGCGACCCCATAGACTCCAGCCCACCAGGCTTCTCAGTCCATGGAATCTTCCAGGCGAGAATGGTGGAGCAGGTAGCCACGCCCTTCTTCCAGGGGATCTTCCCAACAGAGGGCTCAAATCCAGGTCTCCTACACTGCAGACAGATTCTTTACCATCCTGAGTCACCAGGGAAACTCTAGGCTTTCCTACAGCTAATATACTAGTACATTGTGAACTCAGAGACATATTCTTAATAGACCGAATATAAAATCAAAACTATCCTGATTCTACAATCTGTCTTCACTAGTAACTAAGCATAGCCAAGGATATTATGCAGGAACTTTCTGGCAATTTTTTCAATCAATACATTTAAAAGCACATTAGATACTTCCACAATTTTCACCTTTGATATGGAAGCAGAAAGCTTAGCTTCCTGAGAGCTAATTTTCTCTTTCTTCTTTGCTTATGATGAGACTGTCCTTGTTTTCTCCATACCATTTCACTGTACCTTATTAGAGTCTGAAAATATCAAGAGTAATGCTAGACTCCAGTAATTATTACAGTAACTATAATCTAAGAGGTAAGTATAATTTTCCCCTTTTTAGACATAAGAGGCTCAGATGAGTTAAGGATCTTGCCCAGGGTCACACAGCTAAACAGTGTGAATCAGGATTAGAACCTGACTCCGCGGCCTATTCACCAGCACTGCACTGCCTCCAGCAGTCTCTTGTCATATCCAAACATTTAACAGATATATTATACAGAACCGTAACTTTTAGGTGCTGTATAACTGTCATTCCAATTGCCTTCTTGCCCCTCCTAATCTTTTCCATTGAATTCACAAGAAGTTGTGCTGCCTTTTCTTAAATCTCTTACCCATCACCCTACATGGAAAAGCTGCTGAGGTGGCCAAGAGCCCACATTCTCCAAAATTTGTCAAAGACTGAATTTCTAACAGCATTCCGGCTCTATGCTGCCCTTAAACAGGCCCTACAACCACCATGTAACAAAGACTGGCTGAGATGAAGCAATTTGAAGGCAACAGGGAACCATATAAAGCAGTTCTGAAAACCATTTTCCATTTGGTTATTTCTTCAGTTACCAAAGAAACCATGGTTTCGAGGAAATAAATTTAACTCTGCCATCGCTGACCCAAAAAGCATTATCTAAAATTATAGGTCCACAAACCCTTACCTAAACTAGATTTATTTCAGAAGCTTACTTCAGAATGCAGAACTCTTCAAAATTTAGAAAACAGATATAATACATATACAATATGTTCATATTTTCACCCAGCAGATCTGAGACAGCTCCTTCTAATCAAATTGAGACAAAGAAAGTTTTTCAAAAAAAAGATAAAAATTTTATCTCCGGCTTCCCTGGTGGCTCAGAAGGTAAAGAATCAGCCTGCAATGCGGGAGACCTGGGTTCCATCCCAGGGTTGGGAAGATCCCCTGGAGACAGAAATGGCTACCCACTCCAGTATTCTCACCTGGAAAATCCTGTGGACAGAGGAGCCTGGCAAGCTACAGTCCATGGGGCTGCAAAGAGTCAGACATAACTGAGTCACTAACACTTACTACTACTACTGTCTCAACCCTCATATACCACCAAAGGTGTTGGAATTAAAAATATTCCTAGATGTGTTCCCCAAAAGTTCCAGATAAATATTCTGGACACAAAGGTCTTTGTTCTTTTTGCACTATTTATTTTCTTTATAGAGCACATGTGTTTTAAGTTGTTGTACTATTAATGTGGCTTCCCTGGTGGCTCAGTGGTAAAGAATCTGCCTGCCAATGTAGGAGACACAGGTTTGGTCCCAGGGTCAGGAAGATCCCCTGGAGAAGGAAATGGTAACCCACTCCAGTATTCTTGCCTGGAGAATCCTATAGACAGAGGAGCCTGCAGAGCCACAGTCCATGGTGTCACAAAAGAGATGGACGTGACTTAGCAACTAAACAACAAACTGTTCATGTGGTTCCAGTCATCCTTCCTGACTTTTCACTTTCACCTTCAGTCCAAAGTCACATTATTTCTCTCAGTCCCTTGCCTATAAGAGGTAAGAGCCACACTCCTGGAGTCACTTCCACGTCTCAGCTCTTGCTCGCCTGATGGCAACCCAACATCAGTCGTCACTTTCCCCAGGTTCTAACGAACTATCGAAATTGTCACTGTATCACCTTTTCCCTCCCTTGGGTCAGTTCCCTAAACCACTGCTTCATTCAAGATTTCCAAATGGTTCTGTTTTAAAGCTTTGCAAACCAACAGCTGGTAGTGGCCTCTTCCTTCAGTCAAATGAGTGGCATGTGTTTGTTTCCTAAGCCCTCCAATGCTACACTTTCTCCAATTCTTTTTTTTTTCTAATTTTTTCATCTATTTCTCTTAATTAATTTATTTTTTATTGAAGGATAATTGCTTTACATCTCCAATTCTTTCCCCATACTTTCTCCAATTCTTCTTTCCACCTGTGGACCTGATAACCCATATAATCACTATGTCTTAAAAATAGCATTGAGACCATGCTTGCCAAGTGTACATTTATAGGCAGATCTACATTTACAACTCATCTCCAGCTAGCCACAACTATCATAATGAATATAACACAATTCATAAATATTTGTGATAAAAAGGTGTCTGCATTAACTTCTCCCTGCTTATACATCTGACTCATGAGCAGACAGAAAAACAAGAGGAAAGAAAGCAGTCCCTAGAGTATCAAAGCCAGCTGCAATTCAAGAACTAAATGCAGCTACAGCTGTTGTTAACAATATCAAATCCTGCTGAGCTGAAGTATTCATCTACTTGATCCATGTTACTGCAATAAAACTGCATTGTTTATCAAAAGTGTGTAATAAATTAGTATCGGCTTTATGACAGACCAAATACTTCTTGAAATTAAGTGGGCCAATAAAATTCTATAAGCCTCATAGTTACGTGGCAATATACATGATTTCAAACTGTATGCGTCATCACATTAATTCTATACAGGCAGCACTGCACCTACTTGAAAAATGTTGACTATTTTTATAAACAGTCTTAAAACGTACTTAACCCATGTGACAATTAGGAAATTATGAACTTTTATTTCAAAACTTCCACAAAAATATGGGAAAAAAACTTGAAAAGTGCATTACTATATCATCCTTCCCATCTTTTCATTATACGACACGAGAGTTCATTACCTTCCCACCGAGGTCAGGACCTGACACACATCAAATCACAGGTTTAAAAAGAAAAGAGGAAAGAAATCAAGCCAGAGCGAGCAATTTCCAGGACACGGGTAGAGCTCTCTCCTCAGAGAGTCAGGCATGTGGGCCCAACAGAGTCTGAACTGTTTTCCTAGAGACACCTAACAGCAAACAGAAAGAAGTCTACAGCAGCCCCTCCCAGGTCAACTGCTTCCTGGGTAACTTCCTGCTTGAACTCGTTCCTCTCAAACATACTCTTTGATTTGGGCATGTGCCTAAAACAAAGAGGCTAGCACAGGTGCTTCTGAAATAGAGCGCCGTCAGAATTTTCTGTCTAAACTGCCGGCACTGCTGGACAAGGGGTGGGGTAAACAGGCTAATCAACCGGTGGGGACAAAGGGAGGCTGCACAAGAAAGAGGAGGTATTCTAAGTGTTTAATTTGCAATCATGTTTCTCAGGTTAAACACTTATTTTATAGACTAACTATTTGCCCAAAATATTAAGAACGAAAAGTAGACTAATAAGGGAAATCTCTACTTGAACTGGTTTTAGAAACAGGGATGATTATAAATTTCATTAGGTATAATGATGGCATTGTAATTAGGGGAAGAAAATGTCCTTATACTTAAGAGATGCATACTAAACTTTATGAGGATAAAAATAACATAATGTTTGCAATTTGCCTTAAAATACTATAGAAGAGAAAAATAAGAGGGATATATGAAGCAAAATTTTGAAAATTATTTAATTAAGGTGATATGTATGTGGAATTTCATTATACTATTTTTTGTCCCCAAATATCTGTTTCCAAATATGCTTGAAATTTCTTCATAATAACAAATTCTTAGGCAGGCTACATGACTATACATAAACTATGAACCTAATGTATGTGTGTGTATATAAGAAAATACTATAAAATATTACTAGTGAGTATCTCTGGATTGTGAAACAGCAGAGATTTATCTTTTTTCTCTTGTAATTCTTAGTATTTTCCAACCTCTCCAAAATATGTGTGACTTTTAAAATAAAACAAATCTATTAGATATATCAGAGCACTAGATTTCAGAAAACGTAGAGGAAATAATGTTATTAATACATTTTTTTTCTAAACAATCCATTTACTTTTCTATCACAATGCTATATAAATTAGTTTTTTAATGTCTCATAGGCAAAAAAAAAGCTAACACTGACTACTAATACATAAAGTTAGAAGATGGCTTTGTGTTCAGTTTAAGCATGGGTTGCTTTTAATAAAGAGTGGAATTTTTTAAGAAAATATATTTTTCCAGAGTAACTATCCTTTCTAAAATAACATTCTCATCGAAGCTTCTAAATTCTCTTAAGATCTGAGTTTTATAAGATAGACATTTTTCAGACTCCTCTACATTTCATTTTCTGTGCTTCAAGATTAAATTAAAACAAGAACTCTCTTCAGTAAGGACCAGAGTGGTCACTTACGTATTCATCCTTCAGCAAGAATTTTCCACCCTAGGTGTTAAAATGTCTGATGTCAGTAGTCACCAGACACTTTGAAATTACTGTAGAATGCTTTCCCTGTCCTGGGGTCCTGGGATAGGGCAGGGGCAGCAAGGGTGCGGGGGTTGGGGACCGGGTGTCTTTGATACAATTATCAGTAATCTCCTACTGTCTGAAATAAAGCATCCTAATCTTTGCAATGGAACTCTCTTTCCTTAGACAACTTACTGAAGAAACTTCATTTTGTTACAAATTTTCACACATATGGTAGTTTCTAAGGGAAAAGGATGTAACATCTGTTCCAAAGTCTCCTCCACCCCTACTGCTGAAGCCACAATTAACTATTGCTCCCTTGACAGTAAGCCAAAAGGAAGTTTGCTCTGTACTTTCTTATACTAGACTTGCTTGTAACCATTCCGGATTTTAATTTAAATGAAAGTTCACTGGGCTTGTTCCATAGATTCCAACAAAAAGACCACAGTGAAGACACAAAGTATAAGTCTTCATTGCTGCTCATGGTCCCCATTATACAAGGTCAAAGTTTCATCTTTCCGAAGAGTTAATTCTAAGACTTTACCCCCATAAAACCACAAGGAGAAATATAGGCAGCTGGCATACCAGAGGGTAAGAAAAGGCCTTGTGTGGCTTTTGGTCTGAAGTAGAAGCCTTTTTGAAACCCAGGGAGGGAGAGAAGGATTAATGAATCCCAAGTCAGTGAGGGTCAGTGTCACCCCAGTCCTCCATTCAGAAGGATCCGTCTGCGAGTCACTCTCACATCTTAGTGGCCGAGCCTGTTCTAAGTGAGAAGTTACATTAGACACTAACAAACATTTTAAAATCGGAAAGGGCCCTCCCTGAAGATCATCCAATTATTTCAATATTTTTAATTTCCAAGCCCTTTTAAATAAAATCTCAGGTGTTGAGCTTTATTTATGTATCAAAATAAGTCAAAGCAGAACTGCTCTTGGAGTGGGGACATGAAGGGGTTGGCGATCTATCTGTTTAGCATCTGTTCCTGCCCTTCCCACATCAAACAGTCTCACCAGCAGTCAAAACCCTAGAGGTCTTTGGAATACAGTTTGAAAAAGAGTAAATCTGTAAGCCCAGAGAAAGACATGAAGATAATGGTAGAGAAGAAGGTTGATAATGGTAGTTATGTTTCTTTTCTGGGAAGATGCAGACAGTGCCAAAGAGCAAAAGACAAAATAAAAATAGCCACAGTGTAGTGTGAATACAGGCTATAAGTCATATCTATAAAAGTAAATATGTATATCACCAACTACTAGGTGGCAATGTGGGCAAATAAAAACATAAATATGTTGAGGTTATCAGCAACTTCTCTATAGTTATTGCTGTTACTTTGATATTATTAATATTTTTGCCATAAAGTAATGTTTTTTAAAAAGGAAAGAAAAGTATTAGTCCAGACTGTTCTTTCTACAGCTGAGGAAATAAGGTCCAGATGTGCCAAGAAGCATGGACAAATACTCAAGGGCCTGGGCTGCAATATTTAGTCACTTGTACTTACAGAGTAGTAGATTATAAAAACCACAGTTCTTAACCCCACTGAAGGAAAAACTAAATTTTAGTTATTTTACCATTTTCAAAAGCATTCATTAGTACTCGTTATGGGGACAGATTTTATGATATGCTTTAGAGGAAAAAAGCACTGAGCACTGGAGTAATTCGGGAAACATTTATCAACCAACTTATAACTGCAAAATGCTGTTCTAAATACTGTGGATATACATAGACAACTAGGACAAGGGCTGCTCTTTAAAAGTTTACGTTGTGCCAATGAAGACAGACATAGACAACCCTTATTATAAGAAAGAATGAAAGAAAAGCGTGGACAAATAACTCCAGCCTGGGACACTGAAAAAGGGGTGATGGGCCAAATGGTACATGTGATGAACCATGGAGAATGAACCAGCTCCAGGAGACAGGTAGCCTCACAAGGAGACCCAGTCACACAGAGAAGGTGCAAAGGCCAGACGCAGATCAGGACAAGCACCAGCAAAGGCAGGAAGGGCCTAACAGAGTGTTCAGAGAAAGACGAATTATGGGTTCCAGCTGAAATGTGTGGGGCAGTAGACTCAGAGAGAAACATAAAAGACAAGACTAGATATACAAGCTAGGGCTGGGTGAGGGAAGGTTTTTGGAATAAACCGGCATAAACTGAAACATGCAGCTTGTGCTCCAGGAAGGGAAGTCTAATAGTAGTACAGATAGTGAGAAAGGAAAGAGACAGGAGTTAATTCTGGACCTGAATGAGAAAAGCCACGAACTAGGCACATGCGTTTGGGTGGGCTCCGGGAGTTGGTGATGGACAGGGAGGCCTGGTGTGCTGCAGTTCATGGGGTCGCAAAGAGTCAGGCATGACTGAGGCTGAACTGAGGCACTAGAAATGAAAAGAGAAGGGAGGGACTGGCGACAGGAGCCACCACAGTGTCCTGGCCACACAATCTGTCACTTCCAGATGAGTCACCTGGTTTAAGGTCTTAAGGAAGTCAAAATATTAATGATGCGACTCAAGTTACTTTAGTGGATTTAAATCCATTAAATGGTGTATCTCATAAAAAACCTTACAGCAAATCTTTCCAGGCTATTACCTTCACTTTCCCAGGCCTGCAGCTGATCTTGATCCCTGGTAGCACTGCCCAACACCTCTCGAGGTACAGGTTCCATCCGTGCATCTACTTTCTCTGGCTGGGAGGAATGGTTAAATCCTTCCATCGCCTTTTGGAAAAACAAGTTCAGCTCCTGGAAATTCATGGCCTGGAGCTCCACATAAAGTTCTACCTGCTGGGCCTCCTCCAACTCACCCCAGAAGCCCAGCAGGTGCTCCTGCCCAGCTTTGGACAACCTGAGTTTGAGGTCATTGACATTCATAATGCTCGAGTGGCCAAGTTTTGTGATAACAGAGGTGTAACTTCTGCACCTGTAAAACTGGAAGAGAAAAGGAGTCAACAGCAGGTCAAAGTCCAACACTGAAACCCAAAGGCATTCTTCCTGCTAAAGACAAGTGCATTAAAAAACCTGGAGAGTTCCCTGGTGGTTAAGACTCAGTGCTTTCATTGCTAGGGCAAGTAAGATCCCACAAGCAGCACAACATGGCCAAAAAAAATTTTTTTAGTAAAATAAAAAATAATAATAATTAAACACTTATGTTAAGGAAATTTTGCTTTTCCATCATGATCATACTCATAAGAGACCAACCTTGTAAGACAATGCTAATTATTCTTATATACCAGGCACTGCACCAAGTACTTTGCTTATGTGGTCTCATTTTATTTTCAACAAGTCTATTCCTAGGTGCTGCAGTACTAAAGGATCCACCTGGTGATACAAGAGACTCAAGAGACAGAGGTTCGATCCCTGTGTCAGGAACATCCCCTGCAGAGGAAAATGGCAACCCACTCCAGGATTCTCGCCTGGAAAATCCCATGGACAGAGGAGCCTGGCGGGCTACAGTCCACAAGGTCGCCAAGAGTCAGACATGACTGAGCGACTAAGCACAGTACAGCACACATGGCCCTTGATCTTTGCCTGTTACACAGTGATTTATTTTTTGCTATCCCAGGGCCCTGGCCAACTTGAAACCTAACATAAATATTTACTGATGGAGAAAACAAGAAATAAACCAAAGAAAGACATAACTTAAATTTTATGCTAACCTAATGAAGTGTTTTACCCTGTTTACTGGAATAGGAAATGTCAACACATTCCAGTATTCTTGCCTGGAGAACATGATGGACAGAGGAGCCTGGCAGGCTAAACTCCATGGGGTCGCAAAAGAGTCGAACATGGCTGAGCAACTGAACACACACACATGACACAAATACTATTATCATTACTTTCCAGGTGAGAAGACCAAGGCACAGAGAAGCAAAGCAACCCAGCTGACTCGTGGAGCTGGGGTGTGAATACAGGCAGTCTAATTCTAAGGCTCTAGTTGCCTCTTTACACTCCTCTGACCACTAAACTACTACTGAAGGAATACCTAACTGTTTAATATTTTCAACCTTTCTCCTTTTATCTCTAAGAACAGGAACAGAGAATTCAGAATACAACAATATCAAGGAGACAGAAACATCTACAGTCATAAAAAATACAATTTTATCTCAAAGCAACTTCTGCAAAGAAGGAATAAGTCCACCATCTTTACTAAGAATTGAACCCTAAAGGACAAGCAATATACACAAAACAATCAAAAGAGATAAGACAATGCTTTTTAAGAGTATTCCATGATAATCCAGCAAAATGTTAAATTGCATACAATAAAAAGAGAATGAGGAAATATTTAGTCTACTCACCTAATACAGATAAATGCAAGAGAAGACAGGCATTGTCCAGAAAGGGTTCACAAAGGAAGCAGGATGCCTCAAGGGTTGACCAGATTATATAGATAAGATTAGGAAATAAGCGGGCCAAGTGGCTCAGTGGTAACAATCCATCTGCCAAGCATGAGACGTGGGTTCAAATCCTAGGCTGAGAAGATTCCCTAGAGAAGGAAATGGCAACCCACTGCAGTATTCTGCGTAGGAAACCCCAGGGATAGAGCAGCCTGGCGGGCTATAGCACCCAGGGTCCAAAAAAGCTGGGCATGACTTAGCGACTAAAAACAGCAACAACAAGGAAATAAGCAGAGCCTGGTGTCCACGAGGAGTAAACACGAACAGGACAGAGAGAGGCAAGAAATTTAAAGTTTTATGTAGAATGATGGGAAATGATTTAAGGTAGGGCTAACGTGCGAAGAGCCCTGAAAACTAAGCAAAGGAATTTAGATCTAACCGAGTAAGTAAGAGGAAGCCAGCACAGATTATTAACACGGCCAGGCCACCATGCTTTAGAGAAATGAGAGAAAAGAGCATGGCACAAGAGAGACGGTCTGGAGAGGCAACCAGACGCAGGAAAACAAGTTAAAAGTCATCCGCAGGCATGAGAAACCACAGAGGAACCAGATTTGTTGCCGAGGAAATAAAGGGAGAAGGATAATTTGAGACATACGGTAAAGAATCATCATTGCATTATAATTACTTAACTTAGATATAAAGGACAGAGGAAAAGTAGTTACCAAAGAAAAAGCCAACTATCTTCTCCTCTAAGAACAGTAAAATGTAGTTGAGAGCAAAATTCTGCAGTTCAGTTAAACTGCTTATTTTCCCTGTTCCCTTTTGCCAGTAAAGTGGGATTAATAATCCTCCCTACCTGATGAAGACTATTAAACATCACACACCATTTACGAACTCAGGTTGAGAAAACCTACATCTGGGTGTCCCCTGAAGGGGCAATAACAACAAACACTAAGATATACAGAAACACAGTTCTAACTGCTTTATAGACAGCTGTTCACTTAATCCGCAAAACAACCCTTAGGTACTGTTATTGTGATTACTTTACAGAGGAAGAAGCTGAGCCACAGAGCTAAGTTGCCGACAGTCCAAAACCAGGAGAGTGATAGAGTTAGGGCTCAGATCCTGACAGCCTGACTCCTAACTGCATGCTCTTAACCATCATGCTGTATTGCCTCTCAGGAGAAAAAGACTTTGTTATCTTCATGCACATGTGTGTGTGTGTGTGTGTGTGTGTGTGTGTGTGTGTGTGTGTGTAAAACAGAGAGATGGCAAGAAAAAGAAGTAATCTGGACTTTCTTCATTCAGAAAAATAGACACATTTGATGTTCTCGGATCTGACTCACTGTGCTAAAGTGAGTTCACATGCCATCACGGAAAAGGAAGGACACGTGCAGGACAGCAGGAGAGGAACTTCACAGGATGGGCCAGACAGAACCGCCTCATGCCACAAAAAGTGCAGCACCTCCTCCATTAATTCTGACAAGAGGTGTGTGCCGGTGTGTAATGGTAAGCAGTAGTGAATAAGAGACTAGATTAGGATTTTTCTTTTGACAACCAAATCTGAAAAAGTTGAAGATCTATAAATTATGACAAAATCTCCTATATGCCCATACCAATGCATCAGTAACAATGACATATTTGTAGTAGTCCACCATTATCAAATATACCTTTGGTGGTGGTGGTTTGGTGGTGGTTTAGTCACCAAGTCGTGTCTGACTCTTGCAACCCCATGGACTGTAGCCCGTCAGGCTCCTCTGTCCATGGGATTCTCCAGGCAAGAATACTGGAGTCGGTTGCCATTTCCTTCTCCAGGGGATCTTCCCGACCCAGGAATTGAACCTGGGTCTCCTGCAGGGCAGGCACATGATTTACCAACTGAGCTATGAGGGAAGCAAATATACCTTTATTGGAAATTAAACCCTAGCATAAAACATACCTGGCCTTCCCAGGTGGCTCAGGGGTGAAAAATCTGCCTGCCAATGTAGGAGGCACAGGTTCAATCCCTGGGTTGGGAAGAATCCCTGGAGTAGGAAATGGCAACCCACTCCAGTATTCTTGCCTGGAAAATTCCATGGACAGAGGAGCCTGGTGGGCTACAGTCCATGGGGTCCCAAAGAGTCTGACCGACTAAACACATGCAGGCAGGAATAAAAGATATCTAGTACTTCATGCTCCTTTTCTGCTTTCCTTTCTACTCCTATTTCTGCTGCTATATTATGCCTCCCAAATTGGTAAGTAAACCTCTCAAACCTTTAGAAAAACAGGAGGGGCCATAACCATCGAATCCTATTAATACTTCAGAGCATAGCATATTAAATCTTTTTTAGCCTTAGCTAAGGGAGACAGTTCTGCAACAGTGAACGAATAGAAACTGCCTTCATTTTCCTAATTTCACCAGAAAGACCTTAAACTAAAGGCACTACGTAACAACATATACATAGTATCATAATCACTATTACCTGGTTTCAGATATCATAAGCCACGTACAAATAAATATAGCATAGGGTCAGGCCAAACTTAATAAAATCTTCAGGAAACCATATGTTCAGCACATGTGTGCTCTAAACCCTCCAATCCCATCTTTCTTCTTGGCCAAGCCAGGGATAAGCCAGAAATTTCAACCCTCTCCCATTACCAGTATTAAAACAAAAGTGGCAAGTAGGTTTTGTCCATCTCACGTCCTCCACAGGTATCTCGAATCCTTAGTGTACTGTCAACGCTTTCAGAGTCTTTTTCTCATATATTCAAGACACCCCAACTCGCTCCCACGGGACAGTTCCAACGACTTCTCCCCACTGTAGGATCCCACCCCAAGCTTGGCCTAAGTCCCTTGCTGAGAACCTCAAGGCCCCCGTCCCAGGTCCAGGTGAGGCTCCACGCCCAACCGCACGACAAGCCCCCGATTCCAGACGCTGCCCATGGGGGCCCCTCACGCTAGCGCTCCCGGCCAGGTAGCCGAGGCTGAGAAGCGCCGCGGGGCACAGGAGGCGGTGTGGGTGTGAGGCGGGCTCTTCCGTGTGTGCCCGGAGGCCGGCTCTGTGCACGTACGTGCACCGCGTGTCCACGTCGCGCGCGAGGGCCTGGAAGCGTGTGCGTGGCGGCACCAGGCCCCCGACCGCCCCAGGTCCCGAATCCCGCCGTCTACCGCAGGATGGCGGGAGAAGGAGACAGCGACTGGGCTGGGCGCCCCTCACCTTTCTCGGCGCCCCCGCAGCTCCGCCCGGCTCCGGCTCCTTCGGCGCGGCCACTCATCTGCGTCCAGCGCCAGCTCCTAATATATACCTTCATGCGGGGGGCCGGGGCGGCGGGGCGGGCCGGGAGCTGGGGCCAGGGGGAGCGCCGGCCCCGGCCACCCCGCCCCTCCGTCTCGGAGACGAGTGGCTGTCGCGCGGGGAGGAGCCGCAACCACCCACCCCGACACGTCAGCTCCCTGAGCGCTGGCAACACGGCGGGCGCGGGGCAGAGCGCCAGGGGGGCGGGGCGGGGCCTCCACGTCACTCATCCTCCGGGCCAATGGGAACAGCGCGGGGGTCC